TTAGAAATTTCGATTTTATTCACTTATTACAACTCGAATACAGCTGTTTGTATGAAGCGGAAAAAGTCACAAAAGTTTTCCAAGATTCACAGCTTCTGAACTCAATTATTCTGCTGGACAGCTACTGTCGAGAGATCTCGAAAATGCGAGAAAAATCTTTCCTGTAATCAGGCATTCATTCGCTGCGCTCTGTATGTAATTGGGCCTTGACCCAAAGATTTTAGGGCAGTCTTGCAGAAGAAGGGGTTAATGGGCAGCTGGTTTGGATGAGAACGGTGTTGTAGTGCGGCCAGGTTGCGATGCGATAGTTGAAGTGTGACCGGGTCCTGAAAGAAAAGGCTAGAGTGCGGCCAAAGGGTTAGAAGATGGCGGATTTGGAATTTGGTATTTCGAGAAAATTGGGACTTCCCTCAGCGACGACTGTAAAGCAGATTTAATTTGTTGAACTGGATGTGTTTTGTTTAACTTTTTAATAAAAACTGTTCCCGTTTAACAACATCTACTTTATAGCAGCAAGTTTTCATTCTATATATTTTAAATATACAAAATTGAAGGCGCAAACACCTTATTCCTAAAATTTTTTTTTTAAATGTCATTGACCGGGACACTTTTATCTTTTATATCAACTAAATGACAATCGAAACATACCAGTAGATCGCCAATAAACTGACAAATAGAAGCATCGGCCAGAATTTCCCGCTTCAGAAGTGGAAAACAAAGTCCAAGCACTTTTTTTTTGAATATACTACAAAGCAATTGTTCTAATTTCAAATTCAAAATTGATTCAAGCTTTCAACATAAGTAATCAGGAGTATGTTACGAAACGATATAAAGCTGATCAAAATATCACAATAGCAAGCGAGAAAGCAAAATTAGTGAACAAGACTGGTAGCTTCAACAGGTCCTGAATGTTACCACAGCGTCCGAGTCGAGTGTGTCCGGTTTTCTGATCAGATACGTCTGCTCCTGCTCATCGGGATCCGTAATGGAGCATGTTCTGGATGTTGCTTCCCAGTCATCACAAGTCCTAACGTAGCAGTATGAATACTGGATATGAACTGTACTGCCACAGACCTGAAACTTCAGACTGGCTCATTTCGCCATCGTTGTATCTAGGACTGAACTTCTGGATCTTCCAATTTTGTGTTTCTCAGTGAGCCAGGTAATATTCATTTTGAATTAGTCGTGGTTTAGGAGTGGCAACCTTTCGGAAAAAGTGATAATGTTCAGTACACAAGGATATTTCGAAATAGCTAAAGCCTTGCCAATTGCTTATCCAGGAGAAAACATTCAGCTGGTAGTTCCTTCAGGAGATGAAGTGAACGTTAGGTTTGCCAGCACCTTGGCCACTAGGCAGCACAGTACTGGTCAAAGTATAGTTATGGGAGTGGAATGTTGAAGCTTTTGATAAAAGAAAATTAGAACATGAATTAAGAGCTAGCCCGGAAATAAGCCTAAATGGAAGTGGTCGATTCAAAAAGGAGAGACGGGAAAAATTGCCAATTAAATCGTTAATTCAAAAATGCGTAACAACATTTGCTAAAATTGTCGGCTTCTCTAATCCCCTCAATTTGTCACTCACTACGATGAATAAGGTTCGTTGCTGGTCCTGACAAAAACTTGTGGACGTTGCGCATTAGTGAATGGTACTCGCGAGAAAGAAGAAGATCACTCGGACAAACCTCGAGAAGGTGGTATACATACATCGAACAGACAATGGTTAACTGGAACTGTACAGAGGAAATTTTTAAAACATTCAGCTTTAATGAATTACAGTGCTCCTTTTAAAATGTAAAATGGTTTACAATAGCACAGAATCGAAGGATCAGGCATTGCTGCTTTGGGAGAACGCAGTAATATTTCTAACGTGGGGTGCCCAAACTGATGCCCGAGTGATCCTAGTAATCTTGGTATATCATTTTTTGCCTCCTTACCTTTTCCTTGAAGAGCGGTATAACAGAGTGCGGGCTGCATGTAACGTTTGCACACGTTGCGCGCGTCCACTGACCAGTTTTACAACTTCTAATGTCCAGTTTCATGAAAATGACGACTACTGCGATCGTTGTCATAATCATCGCGAAGCCATACAATGATCCTGCTATAATCCAGGTCTGCAAAGAAAAGATGCACAAAAATAATGAAAACACAATGATGGCGAGTGCACTCACGCAGCAGAGCTTTACCATCGGGAGCTTATATTATGTAAATATGAACTGCAAATTTTAAACACTAAATATTAATCTCTGACTTTCTTTTTCGATTTTTCAATTTATAACCCAAATTACTATCATTTGGCCCCCTCTTTTCTTGTCTGTGTTATACCCCCAATAACGAACCTTTGTAAGAGTGAAGCGTACAGATACAGTACTGTAACTCATCTAATAACGCTTTGTTGTTGAAGCCAGATAGCAGCTGGAACAAAGGGAAGGCTGGTACGAAATTCCTCCTTGGGCCGGATAAAACATCTATATAAATCCCCCTTTTCTGCATTCATAGTCCGACTTTTCGTCTCATCTCACTCCTTCGACTTCGTCAGGCGGCTCAATGGAACAATCTCCGTT